ACCCCACCCCACCCCCACTGACTCCTTTCAGCAAATAAAAGTCTACCCAGGGTTTTTTTCCATTTTCTGAGTGAACCTGCATGTCCCAATCCCCTTCTTTTACTGTCAAGTTCCTACAAAGAAAGTGGTTCCAAAACTGCCTTACAGCAGAACCAGCTGGGGAATATTCAGTTAAATCAGAACCTTCCTGAGTCCTACCCTAGGCCCACTGAACCAGAGCCTTCTCTCAAGAGACGGCCTGTCACTCATCACCCCTTTCCACCCAATCACTCCACCAAACTTGTGTTTGCAGGGAACCAACTCTCAGCAAGGTCTGGACACTTCTCTCCAAAAAACAAGAGCCTCTAAAAACTGACACTCATCTAAGTGCCTCTGTGCCTTGCAGCACAGCCGAGAGTCCTCTACTGCAGGAGGAGAAAGAGGCTCATGGGCCCTGGTGAGTGTGCTACAGAACGTCCCCCATGAGTAGAATGAAGTAGCTGTTTTAGGGCTTCTCCCCCAACATTTTATGATAAAAGCACAGGGAACAGTTGAAAGAGCCATAGTTGACAGCTATGCACCCTAGATTCTACAGCTTTAATGTTTTGCTTAGTATATCACCTATCTTTAAAGAAAATCTTACCTATCCCTTTATCCACCTATCAATATATTTATCTTGCATTTCCAGCTAAGTTGCAACTACTCGATCTTAGTTTTTAAATATAATCCAGGTGGAACGGCTCCATTTAGCCCTAGCTAGTGTTAAACCAAAACGGTCATGGCTGAAAGTTTTTCTGAAGTGCTAGCCAGAAAAGGACCAGGCCCTGGGGCATGAAATGTAAGCCACCAGCAGCTGGGCTAGATGAGAAAGGCAACAAGTCCGCAGTCCTGGGGTTGATGGCCTCTTTCGTGCAATCAACTTGGGAAAGAAAGATGTATGTTGTTTTGAAAGAATGTACAGATAAAGGGGGTGAGAGAATTGAAGCAGGGCTCATTTTGGGATAGGTGCAGGGTCCCTGTGGAAGTGTTTGCTCTTTAGGATTGGTTGTGGCCAATCTGGAAACAGTCTGGGAAGTTCATGCATAAGCCAGAGCCAGAGATGCCTGGTGGCCGGATGCCTGGCTATCCTCTTTAGTTGGTAAACAGTCAACTGGAAGTTAATTCAATTTCAACATACGCTCAGGAATGTAAACAGCCTTTTGCTGTTTTGCCCTCCAGTTAACTGATTAACCTCCCTTGTCTCTTCCTTCCACCCTCCAGCCTGCTGTAATTTAGGGCATCTCAGAATTTTCTTCCCATCATTGGCAAAGCTCAACCTTACTTCAAATTGCTTACCATGGAATGAAAAATCCAAGTATTTAAAAAATCTAAATGGAGCTTAGAGACCATCAAGAAGCGGTAATTCCCCACACTTAAGCTTCTACACTGGGCCAGGCCTCATGAAAATCTTGGAAATTAGGGGCTGGGGCTGTTTCACAAATGAAGAAAACTTCTCGAAAGGGAGAGAGACTTGCCCAAGGTCACTGATGATGTGGTGGCCACAGTCTGGGATGCAGGACTCTGGGTTCCAGGCCACTGCCCAGACATCTCTGCTTGTTGTGGGTGCTGAGAAGGGTGTTTCATGATGACGCAGGTCTGTCTTCATGATCATTTACACTGACGATCACACTCACCATGAATAAGCATTAGTGACAACAGCTAGAAACGCGATCAGGTGGAAAGGGCTGCTACAGCGCCAGACTTCTCGGATCTGAATCCTGGTTCTAAGACACAGCAGCAGCAGCAGCCGCAGCAGCAGCAGCTGCTGTGGCCAGAAAAATTAACTTCGCGGAACCTCAACTTAGGAGTCAGGTTCCAAGACACAACCAAGAACACCGGCCTTGGCGATTTTCAGGAAAAAATTTATTCCATGTGAACACAAGTAAAATGCCTAGATCCCCCCAAAACAGTAGCCATTCTAATAACCATGATGCAGTCGCTAAAAATATTTAAAATCTCCGAGTTGTAATGATATCCATTCAATGCCTTTATTAAGTTCCTACCGTGCATCACAGACCAGGGATACGCGATGTTCCTGGTGCTAGAGAAGTTATCGTCCCGTGTGTACCTTTAAACGAAGCCTTACAGGCAATATGAGGGTTACTGCAGGTCATAGTAGCAGCCATTAATAATGAACTATTGACTTTACAGTATGTCACCTTATACAATCCTCCTGATGGCCTTTAGATGCAACTAGGATAACCCCCATTTTAACCACGAGAAAACGAAAGTGCCCAGCTTGAACTTGCCTGAGGCCACGCAGAAGTCGCATCAAAGTTGATCTGCAAGGAGACAAAGTACATACAATACAGGAACAAATTCTAAGTGAGTCAAAATTGAAGGCATACTTTAAAAATTCTTTTAAGCTGGAAAGAAAAACAACAAAGAACAGCCCCATCCTTGCAGTAAGAAAGAAAGACATTTCTGAATCCTGAAGAACTAAGATACGATCAGAGACAAACAGGAACACTGCAAGGTCCTGTTCAAACAGTACTGTTTCCACAAGTCATAAATTCTTAACCAATTCTCTGCTCTTTCAACTCAAAAAAAAAAAAAAGTGAGGGGGAAATCATTGCTTTGTCCTGTGAACATCAGCCTGTGGGCCTCCCGTTACCTGAATTGTTTTTATGGCCTCCTCACGTTCTCCACCCACCACTCGAGTTTGTTTTCTCCGTGTTTGTTTTCTCTGCTATGTTCTCAGCAGGTGCAGTTAGGATTGTCTTTATCTTTACAACCCCTCCTATAAAACACGTGTTCTACAAATATTTCTTGAATGCATACCTGGATATTTTTTTGTTTCTGAAGATAAACTAGTTTTAAAAAACCAGAGTGCACAAAAATATACATGAACAAAGACAATGATGAAACCTTACTTTCCAAACTTTGATGAGGAATTAGTAAAATAAGGTTGACACCAGCTTTTAATTGATAAGTGATTGGGAGTGAGGAACAGATTCTGTACACATGGGAAAATGCAGACAGAAAATCATATCCTGGTCATTAAGTGTCCATTTTCACACAACACTGCACAACTATAAAATTAGAAAGACTCAACGCTCATGGAGGAAAACCTGTTATCACTGGTAACTGGCTCCTGAAGAACACCTGGTAACAGGTGAGGACACCCAGGGGTGAACTTGGAGGTCCCACTTCAGGGCGCCAACTCTAAAACTCATCCTTCCTCGCTTGTCACAGGTCCCCTCCCTGCTTTATTTACAGCACTTCTTACGTTCTAACTCTACATGTTACTTCTCAATTCTGTTGACTGTCTGTCTCCTCCACAGGGACGTGACCTCCAGGAGGGCAGACACCTGTTTTTGTCACTGTCATGCCCTTAGTACCTACAGCAGTCTGCCATTCAGAAGGTGCTGAGGATCTGTTGAGTGAATGACTGTTCTAAGGAAACAAGTGCTTGCCCCCACTCCCAAACAGGTATACTATATAAAATTCATAACGGCATGATTTAAAATTACAAACACAGAGCCTTTATGCCCAGAGAATAGCCATTAAATATTAAAGATTTAGTCAAAACATTTACAGAGTAAGTGAAGCAACATAATAGCAACATTCACAACATGGAGAATGCTTTGCAGTGTCCTGCCCACTCGAAACTGTAACTCACAGGAAGCTTGTATACATAATGAAGTATTAATAAATGAACCATTAGATTCCTAAATAACTACTTTCTCTTAAGTTACTTACACTCATAATTTTCAAATACTCTACCAGGACTGCAATATTTTGAGAAAAAAAGCAGCTACAATTTCAGTGGGAAAATCAAAGCAATAGTGTGATGGAAGGGGAGGGGTGACAAACAGCCCCTTTTACAAAGACTAAAAATGTAGAAAGTTAAAATTAAAAAACAATTGAAACTCCCCTACTGTTATTTTTTCATTTTATTTATTTTAAAAATAAAATCCACTGTGATATAATTTAAATACTTTAAGAGAATAGGCCTAGTGTCTGCTGAGATGACCCTGGCTGAGGGGCCAAGTGTGGCGAGTTGGCATCTACCGGATGGCGGGGCAAGAGCTCACCTCCTGTGGTCTCCCCAGGTGAGGGAGGCACCAGCTCCTCAACAAGGCCCCATCCTGCCTGGCAGCAGGAACATCTCTTACACCCTCACCAAGGCCATGCACACCTGGACCCTACATGGAGCCTCAGGCGACCACTGCAGGGGTACCAGGACCTGAACCAAGGGGGGAGCCAGCCTCACCTTTGCATGAGGGTCAGTCAGCCAGCGTGGCCTTCAGCCAGGCCTCCTTCCCCTCAGCCTGCTCTACAGGTGAGTGTGCTTCCACACTCGCTAAGCCTGTCTCCTCACTGGACTTAGGGAAAAATACCTTTGTAAAACAGAGGTGAAAATGAAAAGAGATAACCCACAGGCAACCACGATGTGGGAATTCATGTTATGCCAGCCATGATTATTACCCTACCTGTCCCCTGGGATGCCTGCCATCTAGGACTGTCCCCTGGCTGGCATGTTCAGACCCACTCTGGCTCTAAAGGCACAACAACCAGAAACAGGCAGTTGAGCTAAAGTGTATTTACATGGAAGGCTCCAAAGGACCCCTTTCACCCAGCTTCAGCGTCTCTCTCGGCAGAGGCAGGGTTGCGAATTCCTCATGTGATTTCTGAATACGGCCCAGGAAAAGGGCACACGCCACAGCTCCACTCCACCATCCCCGGGTCGCAGTCCAGCCTGAAATGAGGCTGCAAAGGCGCACAGGTGCATTCCTGCTTGGCTGCTTCCTCCGCCACACGGGAAACTGCCCAAGGGGGCTTTGTCTGCCCCGCAGGCAGGTCACAGAACAGCGGGAGACATTCCTTTGGCGAAAAAGGACACGCTCTTGTCCTGTATCTTGTACTGGTAAGTGAGGCTGCGATCCCGCTGGGCGGGGGGCTGCGATGGTCTCCGCCACAGGATCCTCAGCTACGGAGACAGGGAAAAGATTGAAAGAGAAGCACCCCCTCCCAAGCACCTGCTGCACTGTGACCCTGCCTGACTCCTCCCGTGACCTTCAACTGGAATATCTATGAGGTCACTGTCACAGGTGCCATGAGTAACGGGACCAACTTCCAAAACAAAGCTATTACCAGCTAACTGAAAATAAAGGTTTCCCCTCCATTACAACAGTGACATAGGCTCGCAACAGAAGAGGAAGACAAAAGTAGCCAGAGAAAACCCCTGAAGTGTTTTTATGGGCCCCCTTCGGTCCTGTTTCTGTACGCGGTCTAGCACTAGCTGGCTGCATTAATTTCGAGAATCAACTCCTTAGAATCTGTATATTCGATTCAGAGGCTCAGGAAGGCTACACATTTGTGTGGGTGACATCTCGGCTAACAGGAATGCTCTGGGGACCAAGTGGTTGCAGAGCCAGGCCCCAGCGCCCAGCGGACCTTCTACCATGCTCACGCCGTGCCACGGGCACCACGATAGCATCACTGTGCTGCTTTATTTCCCACACCGGCCTCTGAATGACTCTGGGCCAAATCCCACTCGCCCTCACCTGCTCCAGAGGGGTCCACAGGAAGTTAACCTGGAAGCTAAAGGGAGGCTTTGGGGTGATTCCAAAAGAGAAGTCTCAGCAGGCAGAGAACCATGGCAGCCCTTTGGAGAGTAAAACCTGAGCCCAGGCGAGCCCGGCCCTTCCGCCTGAGTGCTTACTCCCAACACGCAGGGGCAGCAGAGGGGAGCAGCAGCCCCGGCCACAGGGAAGGCTGCCTGAACCTGTTTCAAAAGGAACAGGGCACGCTGTCACCCTGAAAGGAATTCTGCCGTTTACTATGGGCCCCTGCATTCCACTCCAGAAGGCTGCCTCCTCTTCAGGAGCTCCACTTGGGTCACAAATAAGCCCCCCGTGGAAAACCCACACTGGTGCATGGGGCTAACTTGCATTCACACAACTTCTGAGATTTCCCTTCCAGCTGAAGGGATGCCCCAAGCAAAAAAGCCCTCAGCCCGACACTATCCCATGTGAGGTCTAGACTCAGGCACAGACACAAGCAGCCCATCGCCCAGTAGGATCCTGGCCCCACCCCTGCGCACCTGCCCATGCACATCCCTGCAGAAGCCGGTGGCCAGGCCCTCGGCCCGCAGGATCAGGTGGCTCTGGTGACTAAGGCCATTCAACAGGATGTCATTCTCCTCGTCCTCGGCATCTCCGCTGTCGTGCACAAGGGCCACTATGTTTCCCTGCAACAGAGATCTAAGATGGAAACTTGCTCTTGCCTGGAGGGGAAACCAGGACCGGGGACATGGGCTCTCTCTGTGCCTCCATGCCCCACACCCCCTCTCGCAGATCAACCTCCACGATGCCGCTGCAACCAGCCCTTTGTGGGGAGGACCCTGCCTGGGCTTCCATCACCCACTGGACGTCCAGCCACCAGCACATCCAGCCTGTACTTCCGGCTCAAGTCATCTAAGAGTAAGCCTGGCCTGTGGTCCTCCTTAACATTAAGAAGTGCCGCCATTCCTAAGAGGTGGGCACCTTAGCCATTTCTATTTTCTAGGTTGGTCTACAGTTACTGTTAAAATTGCTATTATGGCAAAGTCTCTGTTTTTGCCTAGTAATCTGACAAAAGTTACAACCTATACTTGCATTGCGCCTCATAATTTTTAAAGCAATTTATACCCATTATCTCAACAGATCTTCTAAACACACGGAGGGATAATGACTTGCCCCAGGACACATAGGCAATGTGACGGGGCTGGGACCCTGCTGTCCTACACATGACCAGTCCAGGGAAGATGGTGCTGTCATCCCTTTAATTTTACTTTTTAGCAATGGCAAGTAAGCGAAAGCGGGGTGGGTAGAACAAAAAATTTCTGGGCCTGCTAGAGTAAAGCCCAAACCCCAAGCAATTAAACAAAAAAAGATCACCGCAAGCCAATGAGGTCTGGACCTGTCTGGGCCCTTAGCAGTCACATGAGGGAGCTCGGCAAGCAGGCCCATACGTACCTGTAGCTTGCAGCACACCGTGGCTCTGCAATACTGGATGAAGTCTAGCACGGCCACCGCTCCCACACCCAGGCTCAGCAGCACACTGAGGTCATCCACCAGCAGCACTGGGCACCTCCAGGCAGTCTCCCCATGGTCCATGGGCTTCAGGGCCTCCCGCACAAACTCGTACAGTAGCTGCAGGTTCCCAGCGTTGGCCTCCCTGGGACAGAGGGCAAAAATCAGCAGAGAGTTCACTCTCTCTACAGTGTTTGTCTTGGGCTGAGCAGCATCACAGGAAAGGGCTGAGGGAGGCAAGGAACTGGATCACAGTCCTCAGCACCAAGGAGTCATGATTGGTTGGCAAGGAAAGGCACGTGCATGCACATAAGTTGTTCTTCAATGCAAATACTCCTTGAGGCCTACTAGGCACAAAGCACTGGGCTACACACTGGGGACACAAAATGAATAGCCTCCCTGGCCCACAACACCACCACATGGCCTTTCAATCAAAGAGTTTAAGGCATCTGGAGATTCATCTGGATGCAGGTGGGAGAAGCCTTCCTGGAAGTCTTAACTGGGTACAAAAAGCTAAACAGCAATTCAAATGTCCTGGTGATGAAGGGCTCTGGTCTAAGGGCCGCTTGTGTGTGTAACAGATGTGACCTGTTTCTGAACAAGCTGGTCCAGAACCCTCCATCTCCCCAGGGACTGCCCTTGGCTGTCATTTCCCAGAAACAGAGTGGACCATTCTACCACATTCTCAGCAGATAACGCTTCCTACAGCTTCTGGGACAGCCGTCCACCATCTGGCCCATGGGCTTTCCAATAATGCTGTACCACCAGAGACATGTCTGACACCTGAAGCCAGCTCTACCCTCCCACACACTGAGGACAAGGAATCACACCGCAACCCTGGTCTGGGCCCACCTACCAGGTGTGCCCCGCTGGGCTGGGCTGCAGGCTGACTGACCTGAGGAACTGCAGGGGATGTGGCTCCTCCTTAGCCTGGAAGAAGATGTCCACCGATGACTTGAGACCCTCAAGGCACACGAGCTGCCCGCGCTCCCGTGCCGTGGTCAGGCTGACACCCTGAACACAACAGAGGGAGAGTGAGTTACTGCATCTTGCAGGGCAGCCCACCGGAGAGACTTGGCTCCAGCTCACAGGAGGTTACAGAACACTGCGAAGCCCGTACATGCGCACCTGTCCACGCTCCCTGCGGCCCGTGTCTGCTTCCCCTGGCTGTCCCCAACCCACAGTTCCCTTCTGTTTTCAGACGTGCATTTACATTTAATTGTCACTTCTTTAAAAAACTACATCTTTTGCTTATATATTTATTTTTTTGATTACCCAACACAGATTTTTAATTTACAATAGTAATATAGATTCCTTTTTAAAATGCATGTATTTATAAAATTAAGCACATTAAAAACATTAAGTAAATAACAACAAGAGGGTAGGAGAATGACAGTCTCTGTTACTACTCAACTCTGCTATTGTAGAACGAAACCAGCCAGACAATTCATAAACAAATGGGCGTGGCTATGTTCCAATAAAACTTTATTTATAAAACACAGAGGGCGCAGGCTGTAGTTTGTTGACCCTCGCTTTAACCAGAACTTCTTAAATATGATTCTTCATGAACCACCCAATTAAAAATCTCAAGACACCTGATTAAAATGCAGATCCCTGAACCCTACTCCAGACTTCCAGAACCAGAAATTTGGGAGGTAGAGCCCAAGAATCTGCATTTCAACAAACACCCAGGGTTGGTAACACAATCTAAATGTGCAACCACTGCTCTATCTGTGAAGAAACAGGTGACATGCCCCTAGACCAGGTCTCCATTGCTCATTTACCCACTAGTGTTCACAATGCAACACCATTAGCTCCAGCAGCCGCCCCTGGCAGAGAGACTCCTGATTATCAATCACCTTTGCTCTTGCTCACTGCCACCCTACTCATGTAAGTACAATAATTCACCAAGAGTGAATGGAAGTACATAGCGTACGGAAGCTCACTCTAGTGCTTTGCATACCCAGTACTGTGCATGCCACCCCTGCCCTGTTGATGAGGATTCCAAGGTAACAGAAAAAAAGCAGCCAATCTGGACATGAGAGTCCACAGCTTCCTCATCCAAAACACCAATGCTAAGACCACAGAGAGAATGCTTCACAGACCTGGAACACAACATATGTTCTTGACATGACTGCTCTCCCTGAGCTCATGCTGACCTCTAACACAGGAACTTCTCCCTTGTCTGCACAGAATGAGAAAGAGTCTGCCCATCTCTCACCCTCTCATTTGTTTCTCTGCTTCAGAGAAGAGGCAGTGGCTTGGCCCAACAGTAAGACTGACATTTCAAAGATCACTGCTGATGGGTGGCCAGGTTCTCTCCCTCTCTGGGGCTGCCTATCAAAACAAAACAAAAAAAACCCTCAGTAAGTCCATCACCAGCCTCTTGACCGACACATTCTTGCCTGCCTTTATCTGATGAGATGAGGTGCAGGTGACAAAAATGCCTCTCCCCATATCTGAGTCCTAAGCCTAGACTTAGGGAGAGACAGTGGGAACTGTCTTGACTTGGTGGCAGATCAAGCTGTGATCTCCAACCCAGCAGAACCAAGATTAAAGTCCAAATTGACAAGGAGAAAACCTTAACTGGTCTAGAATCAGCAAAGATGAGTTTGATTAATTAACAACAGATCTGGGTCTATAAACTAAATTAAAAAACATGAGGAGATGCTGCCTAATCCCTTCAGATAAAGGGTCTAGGATCCCACGACTTCCTTAGTCCCTCCCTTGCTAAGTTCTCTACAACCCAAATAGGGAAGCCCAGCCTCAGAGCACACTCACACGTGCATGGCACACTCACTCACTCAGGGACCTCACCACGGAGGTTTAAACTACTTACCAGCTTCTGTCCCACAATATTGTAGTGACTGAAGGACTGAACGAGAGCCACAAAACAGACTTTACAATTAGCTGGAAAACAAAATAAATTGCTTTTAATAATGTCTCTAATTACAATAAGTCTCGTATACTTCATACCTCTGGAAACAAAAGCATTGAGGCAGGTCTTAGAGACCCAGAGGTCTTGCAACCTAATATACCCAATTTGATTCTAAGATGCATTTTTTGTTCACATTTAATAATTATACTTTTTTTCATTGATTCGGAGATGTACTTCTGTTAGATCTGTACTGGGTACCTTATTTTTTCTCTACTGTAAGTAAATTGTGGCCTTTAAAAAATTCTCATTTTCTGTTTGTTGTTGGTATACAAGAGTACAATTAATTTTTTAAACTGGTGCTATATCCAAGAGGATATAAAGGAAACACAAAGAAGCTCTAGCTACCTTACTGAACATAATTAATTCTAATAAACAGCCATCTGGCTACCCAAACACCAAAGCCCCAACTATTCCCATTACTTCCTGAAACAGGCTTTTATTTACTTTTTTGCCTTGGGTTTCTTTTTCAATAGCATCCATGAGTCCCATACCTTTGAGGTAGAAGGAGAGAAAGTGGTGCACAAGGAAACTGCCATCTGTCTTAGCATCACAGAGTAGAGTCAGTTTCCCCTAAAAATTAAGAGGAACACAGAAAGGTGAATCAGATGCCCTAGAAAGAGGTCAGCTGACTGTATAAATCTAGTTAACTGTGCCTACCCCTATGTTTCTACACCTAAAGAGTATGTATATATGTATACGTGTGTGTATACATATATATGTTACATGCATGCATTACATATATGTATGTACATACACACATGTATATAATACATATATACTAAAATTACCCAAAAAAAGTCAAAATTATGGAAAAAAACAATTAATCAGTATTAAGTCGTTCATTATAAGCAAGTATATCTCAGCTTTCACTTTCCCAAAGCAATACAGAATACATTCCCTCTCTCTTCCCCAGCTGGTGTGGCTTAGTGGTTGAGCTGCATCAACCTATGAACCAGGTGGTCACGGTTTGATTCCTGGTCTGGGCACATGCCTGGGTTGATCCCCAGTAGGGGGCGTGCAGGAGGCAACCAATAAATGATTCTTTCTCATCACTCATGTCTCTATCTCTCTCTCCCTCTCCCTTCCTCTCTCTGAAATCAATAAAAACATATTTTAAAAATAAAAAAACAAAATCCCTTCTCTTCCTCACTCCACCTAGTAACTCAGGGATTAGTCTTGGGGAGAATGAGATACAGAACAAAGGAAGCTTTTACCATCAGAATCCAACGAAAATAATAGCCTGCGAAGACTGGAAGGGACCTTCAAAAAAGTCATCTGATCCTGCTTCCTCCCTATTTCTAATTCTGATGTCAAGTCTGCCCTACAGGGTGGGAAAGGGGGAAGAAGCTGTCGTTGACAGAGACCTCCCGTAACAAAGTTCTCCTCCAAATGGCTCTGGACACTGCTTCAGGCAGAGCTCTGATCATAGAGAGCCCTGGAAAGGCCTCTAAGACCCTGGAAAGGTCTCTGCAATGCCTGGCCGCCCTGGTCCAGCCACCTCTAGTTCCTTGTCAGTGAAAGGGAAGGTCAAAATCAAGTGGTATTAGACACACCACCTCTGTGCTGTTGTGACCTTTTCACCTATAAAACATGAAAGATCACACTATTAGATCTTGAGGGTTACGCCCAGTGCTGTCATTTCCTGGTGCCCACTCTGATCCTCCATTCCCTCACTCTGACCCTGGGCTGAGGACTGCGGTGGAGCCAGTAATAATTAGTAAGGTAGCAAGCGCCATCTGCTGGCTTGGGCAGATAAGAACTGCTGGGCAACTATAAAATCCACCAGGATATATGGAAAGCCATGATTTGCATGGCACTATGGGGTTAAAAGACGGCTTTACACACATCGTGTCTTCGCTGCCTGGAGGAGCTTACCATTTCATTAGGAAGACAGAGGTTATAAAATAAACCAGGTATGTTCCTGGGAGGGGTAACCCCTGGGCTAAAACATGAAAAATTTCGAGATGCCCCAGAGTGCGGGAAAAAGAGTGGAGAAAGTAGAGTGGCCAGGCTGTGGTGCCAACGGTGGACTTGATACAACCCAAGGCTGGCTGAGAGCAGCTTGGAAGAGCACTATCAGACTCCGTAAGGAAGTCAGAGGAGCAGCAGCGTTCACTGCCACCCGCCGAGTGCTACCGGCCCAGAGGGAGACTCCGGACGATTAAGAAGCTGGTCCCCTGTGAAGGGTGGAGAGTCAAACTCTCCTCTCCTCTCTTCTCTCTCCCGCAACCTCCCCCGGGCAGTGAGCACGCACATGGCTCCGGGGTACACGTTTGTGAACGTGAGAGCATCCATACGTCTGACATGCTTTCTAGGAACTTTGAAGGGCACAGGCGGCCTTTGAGAGAACGCGAGGTTCAGAAGCCCACCTGGCGCGGGTCCTGATGTCCAGCCCAAGCCCCAGGCCGGCCCTCCCCGGACTACAACTCCCAGGCACAGCCCGCCCGCGGACAAGGCGTCTTGCCCACGGTCCGCGTACACTTCATCCGGGGACGCGTCCTTCCGCCACGCTCCCGGAACCGCCCCCTTCCCCACCGCGCCACTGATTACCTGCTCCACCCTGTCAGGGGTGGTATCGAGCAGGTTATTGAGCTCTGGCAACATTCCGAGCTCCGGGGACCCGCGTTCGGGACAGGGAACTAAAACTGCCGCCGAGACGAGGAAGAACAGAGCGCAGCGCACGGAACTCAAGACCACGGGGAACGAGGGCCCGCGCGCAGCGACGCTTCTGCGTTGACCGCAGCCAATCAGGAGGCATCTTGACCTGGACCGTTTCCGGCGCACGAGTGATGACGCGCTTCCTGCCGCTGTCCGGCTGAGCTCTCGGCCGGGCGGCTCCTGAGACTGCAGCAAATTCGGTTCCTGCTTTGCGGCTCTGTGGCGTTTGAGCCCTCGCTATGGCCCCCTCAAGTCCCCGCGCAATCGGGTCTCTTCTTCGCTCCCTAAGCCTCTCTCTCTCCATCCCGGGCGAGCTCATGCTGCGTGTCGCACGGTGTTGGAAGCTTGGGCTGCATCGGTGAAGGAGAGGGGCCAAGATGCCTGCCCTCGCGCAAAGCAGAAAACAAGCACAATAGCGATGGAATTACGTATTGAAAAGTTCAGTGGGGTATAGATAGGTTTCGGGATTAAAGAGGCTGTCAGGGTAGCTCACTAAGAAAATATGGAGCGCACCCTGTATGTCCCTCCTTGCACCAACTGTTCCCCCTTTCTGAATAGCTCTTTTTCCCAGATACTCGGCTGCTGAAAAAATCCCCCGCTTCCTTCAGGTCTTTGCTCCGATGTCACTTTATCAGTGAAGCCTTCCCCGAGCACCCTGTTTAAATCACTTCCCCTTCCCCAACATTTCTCATTCTTTCCCCCTGCTTTTATTTTTTCATGACCTTTATACCCGGTATACTAGATCTAGTTCTGTCCACGCCCAATCAGCCTCAGATCATCAGGGACAAGCCGGTAATTGGACCAAGTCAAGTTTATTGACTCATGGCGATGAGAGAGAGAGCACGCCAGTGGAGGCCTGGGGCCTATCACCAAGCAAAGAGAGTTGTTTGAAGATTTGGGGAAGGGCGGCGCTCAGGTGAAATTTATATAAAGTAGTGATTTGGGTCCCCCAAATCACCTAACAAGCCCAAATACTATAATTATGTTCCAACAGTCTCTTAATGACACACCCCTTGGTCTTTCCGTAGTATGCATTCTCTTTCACACCAATGAGTAACAAACCCAACTTTTTTAACAGCAGTTATGTTCCTGGTGGTCGTTGCCTGGAGGGAATTGAAATATTTCAAACAGCAAAGTTTTTATTTTTAGAGAACAAAGTTTCTTAGTAAGAAGGCAGTAGTCGTTTACAGAAAGGGGTTACTATGAGACTATCGCTGCAGCATGCCCTTGAGAGAAATACTGTCTCCTGTTAAAGTTGGCTTTACCTGTGTTAATGAAGAGCAGGACAGATTTTTACAGTCTGAGCTAATTTTTCCTCTCTTAGTTTCCTTATTTATCTGGATCTTTGCACTAAAAGGCAAGAAGGCTGAGATTTTGGTCTGCTATATTAGCTTTTATTTTCTCAGTGCCTAAAACAGTGGCAGGCACATAATAGGTCTTGTTTTAAAGGAATAAATGTATGTATTTTTCTGCAATTGTGAGTTTTCTTTTCACTTTCTTGATGGTGTCCTTTGAAGCAAAGATAGTTTTTAAGTTTGATGAAGTCCAATTTATTTACATTGTTCTTCACTTGTGCTTTGGTGTCATATCTAAGAATCCATTGCCGGACCCTGTGTTGTCTTCTAAGAGCTCTTATAGTTAGGTCTTTGATCCATTTTGAGTTAATTTTTGCATATGGCGTAAGGTAAGGATCCCAGTCAGCTGTGAATCTGATAGGGGTTGTGTGGAATCTGTATGTGAATTTGAAGAGTATTGCTTCCGGTACAGATGTGCAAGAGTTTCTCTAGGGTATGTATCTGGAGTGGAATCTGGGTCATAGGCAAAGATGAATTTGCCATGAAGCTAAGAAAGCTAATTCTTTATTTATAACGTCGTATTACTTTCCTTAAAGGGAGTTCCTCTCCCTCTTTGTATAAGCCTCAGATCCCATAATACCTGGGTTTGCCCCAGTCCTAGAACAGACCAATGCAAATACAGAAAAGTCTAACAGAGAAGGATCTGATGCAGGAAACTGGGTCAAAGGGTGTTGGAAGGCCTGGGGGAACAGAAGGGAGAAGGCGATTTTAGGTGACAGTTAGGGAGCTGGTGCTTCCCCGGGGCTGCAGTGCCCTCCTCTGTGTTGAAGGGGCCGCGAGCCCACAAACTATACCTTTCCGGCTGGCTTCCAGCTGTGTGCGCTAGGGTAGGCTGGCAGGCGGGAAGAGGGAAGAGGCCGCTCTCTTCGCGCTCCTGGCGGCGTAGGCCCGGCGGGAGGGCTGCAGCGCTGGCGGGGACTTGCAGCTGCCGGGCAGTTTCAGCAGCGAAGCAGAGCGCAGGCCCCCAGGTTCCCACAGCAGCAAGGGCAGCGGCAATGCTTCCAGGGGCTGCATGGCCCCCGGCGCTCCTCCTGCAGCCTTCACCCCCTCAGCCCCCAGGCCTCCAGCTCTGTCTTCACCTGTAGGCCTTCATCTCTTTTCCAGGAGCTGGGCCTTCCCGGCTCCATTCCCTCCCCTCCCTGCGCCCTGGGACTCAGAGCTGGCTGGCAAGCCTGTGTGTTCACCTTGGTCTCCTCCTGGGGCTGGCACCGAGACTGGCACTGACTCGAATGCATCCTCCCAGCCCGAATGCATCCTTCACCCCACTTCTCTGCTTCTGGGCTGGTGTCCGTCACTGTTTGCAAACAGCACAGGGCCCCGCTCCATAGTTTCCCTTTGCCTTCCGTCTCTGAGCTGGTTGCTTGTTTCCTCTAACTGCTGCCTGGTGCCTCCGCCACCTGTGACACAGTTTCATAGTAGCCCCAGATTGGAGGTGAGTCCACAGAACCCGAAGACCTTGGCAACGGACGGAAAGCGCGGAGCAGGCTGGGCAACCTCCCTCACACCCGCCGGGGGGCAGCAGGCACCGCGGAAGCTGCCGGTGAGCCGCCCTGGCGCTCAAAGGGCCGCACTGGAGCATTTGGCCAGGAGCCCACCGGCTGCCAGTCCGCCCGCCTGCCTCTCGGGAAGCCAAGTAGTGGCCTCCTCATGGGCTCTCCTGCTCCAGAGTTTGCCTCCCTGAGGAATGTCCCTTCCCCCCTCCCCCCTGCATGGCCCCCCTCCTGCCTAGAGTAAAAGCTGGAGTCCTCTCGTGGCCTCATAGACCTGCCCACTGATGCTCTCCTGCTCGCCCTTGCTCCAGCCCTGTGGGCTCCTTGCTGCTTCTCGAGGCTGTTGCAACCACGCTCAGAGTCTTGTGCGTCTGTTCCCTCTGTAAGACTCCCTCCACGTGTCTGCAGGACACCATTATGCTGAGAGAAAGAAGTCTTATCCCAAAGAGTTCAGACTGTGATTCCATCTATAAGAAGCCTTAGAGCAGGCAAAACCAGCCAATGGTGGGATGAAGTCAACCTCAGCACCTTCTTGGAGGACAAGACTCTACTCCCTGGGCCTCACATTCCTCCTTCCAGTCCCAGCTCAGGCCTCCCTCACTGAGGGGCCCTGGGCAAGTCATGGCCTCTCTCTGGGCCTCAGTTTCCCCTATGTGAATTTCCATGGAGGTGGACTCTGGGGCTGTATGCTTCCTCCCATCCTGACAGTCCAGGATTCTATGATCCCCTTGGGAGCCACAGCCACCTTGGGAAATCCCCTGTGCCGGCCTGCAGGTGGCTCAGGCCTCTGTGGCAGGGTGAGGACAACCCCCTGGGCCCTGGAGCTCCAGCCTCATGCAGACCTGCATGGAACTGGGTGCCAAGCACCAACCCTAAGTGAGCTGGGATCCCTGAGCTCCCCCAAAAGCACAGGGCTTGGAGGGTGTGGGATCTGGTGGTCCCTCTTCACCTTTGTTCCTGTCTTGGGGCTTTGCAAGCCAATGGGAATGCAGCCCTGAGAATAAAAGCCCCTTGTCCAGAGTTCTGAGCCCTAATCCTCTTACGTGTCACCAGCGGAAAGCCGGAGCCGGTGGCAGAAGGGCTGCTCTGATTTCCCTGCCAGCCGTCTCTTGTCCCACACTCTGGTGCCAGCCCAGAGCCATTACAAAGGGCTGGCATCCCGGCCAACTAACTGCACAGCCGAGTGTAATAACCGCTCAGGCCTGTGATGACGGAGTGATCACACTGTGAGCCCTGGACAGGGCTGGGGAGCCCAGGGAAGGCTGATCACCTGCCTGCCCCGAGGGCTACAAGCTAGTCAGAGCCCCAACTTTGCCCAGTGTAGCTTGGCCCCAGGGTCTTGCTCCCTCTGCGGGAGCCCAGACTGTTCCTCCAGTGATAAGGGTCCTTGATTGGGTGGTTATGGGGTCTCTCTGGGCTCAGCCATCCCTGCAGGGAGCATAGACAGAGCCCCAGCTCTCAGTCCTGCGACTCGCACTCAGGGTCTCCCTGTCCGAGGAGCGGAGGGACAGATACCTCCAACCGGGCAGGAAGCAGCAGGGCACCGCTGCTGTGCAAGACCCTGTGGACTTTGAAGAGAGGTGGCGGTGGGCAGGTGGCTGGGGTCGGAGTCAGCCACGAATGCATACGTGAGTGGGACAACGAATCATCTTCTCTTTCTCCCTTCTTTTCTCTAAAATCAAGAGAGAAAAAGATGTCGTTTTTATAAACCCAATAAACATAAAAGGCAGTGGAAAATAAAAAAGAAGCATCAGTCATAAGTGTGGCATCTGGACTGGGACGCTTGGTGAAAGTCACTTCCCAAGAGTGCGCCCTCGGTGATCTCTGAGCTTCAGGTTCCTCCCTTTGAGAAACAGGACCGGAAATGACAACCCGCACCTGAGGGTTGTCACGAGAATTAGGTAAGATCATGCTGTGAGTGCCTCGCAGAGTACCGGGCTCCAGGGCAGCTATTATTCAGTTTATTAATTTAAAAAGCTTGCAGAATCAAGGGTTACTGAGAAGGAGCATCCTGTTTGCTCAAGGGTGAAGCAGAAACCTTCTGAGCTTCCCCATTGAGACTGAGTTGCGTACACACTCCTGTCTGCAAACATAGCAGACAGGTGGCCACGTGCTTCAGGCCTGTGGTGGCCTCAGCTGGCCCCACAGGGAGGCTTGAAGCTAAAATGGGCCAGCGGGGTTGTCTGGCATGGGGCCAAGGTGGCCAGGGT